ATTAGGGTTTGTAAACCTCCGAGTTCATAATTTTCTCAGTGACGAAAACCTTTGCCTTTTGACTGCAGCTGCAAATTTCCTGTCAGATTATATATTTGCGTTTGTTGACAAATGTCTACGGTCCATACAAATTTCCAAAAAAAAAATTGTGAGCGATTGTCTACGCGGGGGGAGGGGGGTCTGAAACCTCTAAAAATCGGTGTACGTAGTTTATGGACAGCTCCATACGGTGTTTCTACGAAAATTCAACACTTTAGCCAGCTTGGACGCGGACCGAGGGGGTCGACTCTATCTACGATGCAGGAAAAATTGTGTTTTGCTGTGGCTAGCTGCGCGTATGCTGAGTAGATAGAAAGAAGATTTATCACGATTTTGAAGATTTCCTGCAAAAAGATGATGCGTGATGCAAGTAGATGCGAAAAATGAAAGAAGATTTTTCGAAGATTTATTCACTGATGTGAGATTTTTTGAGCATCTAGAATTGAGATTTAGATGTGTCGCCCCCCTCGACGCGGACCACGATGGATTTTCCAGGTGACAGCGCACATTTTTTCTTTCTACCTAGCAACTAGCACTACTCCTCTTGCATGGTGACTATCTCCAAAACAAGAGCGTTTTATGAACTGAAAAATCACTGTTATTGTTGTTGTCAAAAAATAGACGTCAAAATCTTCCGAAAACGTCCACCAGGAGCGCTGTAATAAGCAAAAGAGTTTGTTCCATTACTAAGTGGGCCATGACTTATAGACCTATTGTTGATCGATATTTAGTTATTGATGATTTTCTGTAAAAAGGGTAGTCATATATCTGCATATTTCATTTAAAACCTTTATTTGTTTTCTTATAGGGACCCCAACGAATGTGTACAACATTTAAAATGGTTCGGTTGCACTAAATTTTGATGCATTAGCAATATTTGTTCAGCTATGGCTGTGAAAAATGAACTTTTTTCTAAAAAGTTCATCGGGGTTACCTCTAAAGCACTTCAACGCAATTCGAAAGTTTTTTTGTAAGATCCTTGGCTATCATTTGGAGGGTGAGCCCTTTGGTTCCCCATTTTTGTTTGTTTTTGGGTACTCTAATGTTAACACTTCCGACGTCGTCGTCGTTCACTTTTAGCTCCAGCTATTCCTGAAAAAAAAGTACATTCGCACCAACACACCAGCACATATGTAAAGCTGGAATTATGTTGGTCTGCACTGCCAACTAGCTCGACCAACTCAACCAACTAGCACGAATTTCAGTTGCTCCTGAAATCTTATGCTGGTAGATGCTGACACCCTGTTTGCATGATACTGACTATTTATTACTACAGTTTTAATTCACTAGCACTAGCACTCCAGCACCAATATAAACCAATGGTAATAGATGTAGGAGTCCGTTTCCTGTCTTAAAATAAAAATCCGAAGCTATATCCACGATCGATTGCTTCTATACGTTGTTCCATCTGTTATAAAATTTTGTCAAATACGGAGCTTACTTCCTATTGAAAACTGTATTCAGTCGATGGGGGAGCTTGATAATTTTAATTTTTCGTTGTCTTTCAGTTGCTGTAGATGTATTCGTCATTAGCGTACTCGATAGCACGATCTGTTCCATCCTTTTCCATTTCCTCAAAGATGTTTGCTAGTTTCTGATAAGTATAATTGTCACGTATATGGTGATGGTTCTTGATTGCAATGATTCGTTTATTTTGTCAATATTATTGAGGATTCTCTCCCATGGATCGAGAAGACAAAGAAATTTAAAATCAATTTGTTTCAATAAAACTTGAGCCCCGTACACTGTGGCACTGTTATATGTTGTCAGATCTGTTAGAAGGAGAAGGAATAAATTGATCTTTTTAGAGCTGAAACTTCTTTTCGTTTTGAAGACTATTCGGAATCGGAATGCCCTTTTTAAATTTCTCCCAAATATTAATTAAAAACTCTCCAACACAAGTGATGAAATATTTAAACATATCTTGTATAATTCCAAAGAAAAAAAAAAAAATACTGGCTGAGTAGACTGTGAAAAGATTTAGACTAAGAGCAGTACAAGTACAACAGTGTTAATTTCTGAAAGTAAACCGTGGATTTGAGCGCCCCCGTAGTTCGACGCGCCTGGTGTGAGCCACTTTTGTCGCCCCTCACTACGCCTTTGTGTGATAGTTTCATTACCAACCCAAATACTTTTCACAATATTTTTGATGCTCACGGCAGTTTATTTTTGAACTGGATATTAGCATCGCATTTTAAACGACTTAATCAACTTTGAAAAATCATCATGAATTTATTGAATGAGTATTGGTCCAAATTGTATCAAATTTCGGTAGGTAGTATATTCAAACCGTATACTTCCATTAAAATATAAGGGGAACAATAAATAATCAAATGGTCTAAATTGTTTCAATTTTTAAAGGTAGTATATTCAAATCGTATGCTTCCATTAAAACATAAGGAGAAGTATAAATAATCAAGTTGATTTATTTTAAATATTAATTGGCTTTCGACTACTGTGAATCGGTTCTATGGGTAGCCACGAAGGGCGATTTCAGTCCATACACTTTTTTGTATGAACTGTAGACTAGTGCCCACCCCAGTCCCCTCCTACATAGTTTATGAACGGCCCCGAAGTACGAAGATAAAATCCATGCATTAAAAAAATATAAAGTCATTCTTTGGTTATACATATTTCACTGTACTTTCTTGCATAAAAAGAATAATGAAAATATTACTGCAGGCTTTGGATCTGACTTCTTCTGCTTCTAAATAAGTGCTTTCATTAGTTGATAATTATGCTTACACCTACGGTGAAATTACGACATCATTTTAAACTAAGCAAAACGCAAATGATTTGTCAAATAATACTAACGACATGCTAATGAGCCCCCTCTGCGACATTTATTACGTCTAAAATATTTCGATGCCATGCAATTCCAATGCAATGAGTATTCTTGGATTGCACTGTACGCCAGCAAACAGCCCGTGGAGACAGACACACCCCCGAGCCGTTGTTGTTATATATTTATGACCAGATCACTGAGTGAGTTGCTAATAATAGCTTTAGTTTTTCTCTCGCCACTGTGAACACCTAAATACGCATAGGGTAAGAGTGCCAGTTCTTGATCCTCTAATTGACCCTATCTTATTTTTTTTTTTCCATTCTTTACTAAACTTATATCGACTGACATTTACTCATATATGAGTGAGATTTACTCATATTTGAGTAAACATTTACTTATTCTATGAGTGACCTACGTTTTTGTGAATTTGAGTGAACGGTACTCAAATATGAATCAAATTCGTTTACCGTGTATATTTTGCCATATATCCACAGAAATAAAACCATGAAAATAACTTGTTAACTTTGAGTTACGTCCTAGGGCCAAAAACTAGACCACTAGTGCCGTAATCGGCACACTTACCCTACACAACTATTACTGCAACCACTGTAAATACAAGGTCGAAAATAATCGCGCAATATTAAAAGCTAGCGAAAATGTCGTGTACTATGATGACGAAAGGCGTTCATTGATTCAAAACAAGTGGAATCGATGAGGTGGTGCTCCCGTAGGTGGTACTCTCAGATTCCAAATTGATGAATAATCACTCTGGATGTAAACAAACCAGGTTGGATGTGGATGGTCATCGCCACAGTTTTAGTCGTGAGTGACGTTGGGATTTTCTCGAGAAATCATATGATCGCCCACCCAACCCATTCATGTGATCGAATGCTACTCACGCTGCAAAAGCCTTCGGGTGTTTTTGTTGTATGCCGCATCATCCGATTTTTGTGAAATATGAGATCCTTGGCGATTCAGCAGCAAGCTCGGAGGTCGTCGACGGTAGCAAACAGAAAAAATGTGCTCACCCAGCTCGTTTCGCTCCGAGAAAAATGATCGTTCGTCAACCACGTCGTGTCGAGCCGGCTGAACAGCGTATGAATGAAAAGTGTAAATAGTGACCACGGGCCTTTTGCTGACGATGGCCAACCGACAACCACGTCATCGTTGTTTTACATCACTCATCGTATGATCGACTGCGTATCATTCGGAGAGAAGAGAAACGGAAAACAGAGCACCTTTTTGATACAAGTCGATCATTGGCCGCGACTAGCGAAAACAACTGAGCGGAAAACTCACAGGTAAGCCGGTGCGAGCGTCTACGCAAACAAGCCCTCAAGGTAAATAACTAAACGGTAGGTCCGCACCACACAAACAGAACTTGTGACTTGCTGCTGTTTAAAGTAGGTGATAATTGGAAGTTAAGATCGGTTTCCAAATCGGCTTGTGATTTTCGTTGCGTGAGTGTTAATTGTCATTGGAGAGGAATTTTTGAGTCGGTAGTAGCAAATCTATGTTCGTCTAGCGGATTTTGATAACGATTGTTGAATATCGTTCGATGCAATGGTATTTCAATGCTACTAACGAAGGTGTGCGCGATGAGTGGTTTGTACTGGAAAGCGCTAGGTAAACAAGCCCGTCTAATGGTCAATGCGAAAATGATAAGACTTCTTCGAAAAAAAAAAACCGCCACGTAATTGTACCTGTCTAGTTCTATCCAATATGAGCAGGTGAAACGTATAATTACCTCATGAAACTGATATGATAATATACGAATATCGTACGATTTCCACTACAGATAAGATCCCGGTACAAACACACTGACCGTTGGGTATTCCGTCACCGGACACGTTGGATGGTTACCTGGTGGTGACTCCGCGAAATATCTAGCTTTGAGTGAGAGCGAGAGATCGCGTCATCAGCTCAAAGAGTATGCAGTCAGTCGTATGATATTGAGGCCTATTCTGCGCCGCGAGTGAGGTGAGGTGACTCGCTATCACTATAGTGTGCTGACAATAGTCACCTCATATGAGGTGACCCTCCATGCAAATCAAATAGAGCGTTACCTCACATGAGGTGACTATTGACAGCAAGTCACCTCACCTCACTCGCTGCGCAGAATAGGCCTGATTATACCAAACCAACCCAAGTGAGTTGCCGAAGGCTCGATCGGTACCATTCGCGAATTTCCTTTCGTTGCGTTCGCTACTGAAAATCTATATAAAACCGTTGTGCTTCGGCCGGACAAGAGCTACATGTATTTTTGCTGCACGCCGATCAAGTAGGGGTAGCCATCCAGAGTTTCAAAGTGAACCTCCAACGGAAGGAAGAGTGCGAGTTTTTGTTGCATTTTTGATTTTGAGCTCGAAGAAGCAATTGAGCAGAAAATTTGCGTACGTGATACATATTTTTGAGATATACCTACTTTTCGCTTAACTAGTGTGTGAAGTAATTAGTGTTTGATTTTGAACACGATTGAGTCTATATGCATTTTGTAACGGTTGATTTTGTTTTCTCTGGGTGTTTTTACAGATAAGCGTGAAAATCTAGTGCAACTTGTCGGGCGCAGCTTAAACAGAGAGAGAGAGTGTATACCGATGTTTGTTCTGAAAGTGAAAGTTAAGAATTTGCTAAACATGAAGATTGAAATCAGAAATTTGTTTTTGATCACGATTGTAACGGCCCTGCTGAATCTGGCCGCGGCATCATCTTCAGCGTCGTCCAATAGTTTCCTGAGTTTAGACGAGTTCAATAGTTCTCCTACGCGTCACAATCATCGGCACCATCCGTCAACCCATCAGCAGCAACAGCAGCCACAGAAGGACAACTTCATCCTGATAGATTATCTGAGCGATGGTGAACGGGAACGACGCATCAATTGGAAAGGAATAGCCGGCAAGGAAACCAGCATCGGTGATAGGAGGTAAGTCGAGTGTTTTTATCGATTCCATTCCTGGGAGTGTGTGCATTGGACATTGGCGACATTGAAATTAGGAAGCCGTTTGGGTTTTAGAGTGGTCAGGAGCCAGTACCGGTGCAATATACACGCTCTCTGACAGGATATTAGGGGCAGGCCAGATTTAATTGTTCAATGACGTTCGGCTCTAATGGGTGAGAGGAATTTTGAAATCTTCACCGGTGGGAACAGGCGATAAGTGTTTTCGAGTACTGGACGTCTGTTTAGTGCTAATCGTTGAAAGTTGTGGAAAGGAAGTTGAGATAAGTGCTTATGAGGCAAGGACGATGATAATACCGACAAATTTTCTCGGACATTTAATTGTCGTTCCGGTTTGAGGAAATCGTTTTGAAATGATGTTGCGGGGTGGGTTTTAGGGAAGGGTACATGTGAGTGCGATGCGAAAAGTTGGAAAAGCCTATGCAAAATTTGCTAATTGCTGTGGTCTACTTTGACGGGAAAAAGCTAAGGTTGACCTAAAAAGAATAGGAAAGGGCTTGTGGGATGTACCTGCATGATAATTTCAACTCCCCGGTTAGCGACGTATTTATTTTTAACCGACTAGTGTGGTGCTAGATGATGCCCACGAAGTTGCGCAACATCGTCTGTCGATCGATGATAAGGGAAGTTTATGTTTTGCATTCTTATGTTTTAGATATTCATGAATAGTGATGAATAGTTATAGTGAATCTTCTCAAACGTTCTTGTGGCATAGCTGATACAATATATCTGCATTGCAACATTGAATAAGAAGATATTTTTATATTATATATATTCAGTTTGTCTTTCATAAGCAAATCACGCCATTCAATTTTCTCATATTGTTGGTGGTTGTGGTGGTGATCGGACGACAAGTTGCCGATCTTGCGCAGTTTCAGTCGGCAAATGTCAATAACACGGTCGTCACAGTTCAGAACATTTCAATTGATCGCCAGTCGATCGCTCGTACCGTAATGAAGGCCGATGGCGCATCGAGCCAAATGAAAAAGAAAAGCGAATCGCTTTTTTGACGGAATCAGAAGTTCCTCCCACTGCACACTGCCTCGGGAAGGAACGGAAATGTAAGTAGTGGGCACACAATTTTTTAGTTTGTTAGTGCTTGCGGGGCTTGAGATCGACATGATTGCTGTCGAAACTGTCGGCGAAATGGAAATGTAGACCTCCAATGAAAAAACGTGACCAATGATGGAAATTACTGACCCCGGGGAGTTGAGTAATCGAACGAAATCATTGACCGTTACCGTGCGGAGGAGTTAACTCTCCCAAATCGAGACGCCTTTTCTACCTCTCGACAGTCGTCACGAGTCGAGAAAGTGCCTTTACTTGCGTGCATTCCAGTCACATGAGAGTGCCAACGAGTATATCGTCAAAACAAACATTCGGATTCCACTGAGTGTGCGTCTAATCGCAAAGTGGCGCTAGGACGTTAATCGGAAAGAAAGGTTTGTCCGGCAGCGAAATTGACATTCGCTAAAGTTCTCCCCGTATTTTGACGTGTTGCGATGTAATTTTTTCGACTTTGCCCCGAAACGGGGAGCGGCTCCTACTAAAACGAAATGACGCGATAAAAATAGAACCACGCTACTGTTGAGTTAAAAATACGGCACCGGTTTGGTATTTCGTTCTGTGGGTTACACTTTGCGCTCCTGTCTCCAATATTGCGCGAAAATGACATAACGTATCACGCCATCTAGATTACATCGTACGATAGCTGGTGAGTAGTCGTCCACACATATTACCTGCTGTGCCGTATTCTTCGGTGCAGGGGACAATTTTACAATTATCAGGTAATCATGAAGTTTGATTATTGGAGTCTCAGAAGTTGTGACCGGCCATATATTATATATAACAAACAATGCTACGAGGGGGGGGGGGTCTAAGATTGGTCAAAAATATACTACGTCATTTGTGGATGGTCCCTTACATGCTACAGTACAGTACAGTACAGTCCAGATGTTGTTTACAACGTGCAGTAATATCGTACGATGAGTGTTGTTTTATGATGACGAAGGAAAATCAACGCAAACTTCAGTGGGAATATCATACGATAGGTTGACGTCGTGTTCGTCGTTGTTGACTGTGGGAAACCTCCCGAATGATAAGACGATACACGCTTTGGCAATCTATTGAATTGCATCACATGCAGAGGTGCACTGCCTACTGGCGTAGTTATTAAAGCTTTGACGAACGTAGCAACCGGATAGGTTCGTCGAGGTGACATGTCATGATTGGCGGCAGCAAGTTGGAAATTGGAAATCTTACTTTAAAAAGTGTGAACTACTTATTAGCATCCATTGATGATGAAATGGAATTGTTATAACTTATGACATCGCACCAACATTTTTGTGTCATACGTATGATTGGATTCATGCTTAGGAGGTGTGAAAAGACATTTAGCAACACATTGACGAATCTATTGACGGCTCCGGTGGTGTAGTGGTAAGCGTGACTGCTTTCTCACACCAGTCTGAGTTCAAGCACCACCTAATTAGAAAAGGAAGTTTTAGAATACATGGTTCAGACTTTAGGGATCTAAGATAATTGTGATGATCACATTGTCAATATGTCATATGTAGTTGTCATTATTAATTTATTTATAATAAATTGAAGAACAAAATCAATCCTTAAATTCTTCTTCGTTTTCGAACGATCAAATCCAAACAATTATCATCCAATCAGTTATCTTATAAGTACTTCACTATCAAAGATCTTCAAAGTGTGCCTGCTGATAAGTTTTCTTTAGTCATATGAAAAAAGTAAATTGTTTATCGAAGTCGGCCTTGAAACTGATAAGTTGCTGAAATATACATAAGGTTTTAAAAATATATTCTCGTACTCTTATGACGAATTAGGTGAGACTCATCGGCACTCACGTAGAATTGTGGTTTAAGTAAGTTTATCTTTACATCGTACTAATTCAAATGTTATCCTTAACGTAACATTTGATAGTTGTGTTGCCCATTTTTCAAATAAAGAAAGGATTTAGTTGAAAAGGCTACTAAAAGTCGCTGGAAAGTAATTAAGACCTTTTAGTAATTTTTGGTAGATCTGGAATTATAAAACATCAAGATTATGCATGGCTTTAATAAAATTGCTCCAAACTAAATGGATGAATGGATAAATAAATGCTCCGAATTTGTATAAAGAACCACAAGTTATTGGCCTTATACTATGTTCAGAATATAGTTGATTTTACGTTACGACTATGTTGATGTAAAATATTTCCTTCATATATAATGTCATATATGACTGTAATAACACCAGGATTATCTACTACCGAGTATCAAGTAGGGATGCCAAATTGCATGGCATGTTCATTTTGAAGACAATTGATGTTTTGGGAAGACATTTAAAAGCAGACATTTTGATGACCTTTCAAATTTAGGGCAGACAGAAAGATGTTTTGTGAATTATATTGATGGTCTTGATTGAAAGTTATCGCATTGATGTTTTTAAGTAAAATCTTGCTTTATTATTTTTTATGTTAAATAGTTTGAATAAACGATCGCATCGAGGATCGCATGAAGATAGGCCAATTACTCTTCCCAAAAACAACACTCACATCACTAAATTTAATGCTTGTTACGTTAGAAAAAATCATCTAGTAGAACGTGTTCTTGTAGTTTTTTGGAAACTTAAATGGTTAAAAAATTCCTTACATTAAAAATACAAGCAAATCTGAAATCGCCAGTTAAGCCGTAAAACCTTAAAATGGTTCATAAAACACCTAAACAAACTTGAAATCGTCAAAACGGTAATTCTTCTTCATCCTTGGCTTTATAACGTCTTTACTGGGACTTTATGGCGGCCCTCAACTTTGTGTTTTGTGAACACTTCCACAGAGCTTTCCAAGTCTATACCATTTTTGTATTAGTATAATTGTGTGGCCTAGGGAAGTCGAGTAATAATTCAACCTGAAAAATTTCTAGACCGGACCGGTAATCTGACCCAGCATCGTCTTGCTTTATAGCTTCGCCTTTACTGACTGAGCTAAGGGAGGCCCCGTAACGTGGGTAGATCACCTTTTCGTGGTACGTTACGGGATGTAAGATCTACCACCGATTTCTAGTCTTGACTACTTCAAACTAGGGGAACAGGATTTTTCAGTAATCAAAGGAACACATCTTAGTCCTTTTTACTTTTTATGCCTTGTTGATAGTGATAAGTCCTCGGGTTGCCTGGACCAAGGATGATCTTGAAACAAGGACAAAATGAGTTAGTTAGTCTTCATCTATGTGATTCCTAATCTTCTATTCGTTGTTCCCTAGTTTGAAGTGGTTAAGTGTCATTCCTTAATTTTGTTGCTAAGGAATCCAATTTAAACTGACAAAGGGGCGCGCCAACACTCCGAAGGGTATAAATAGCGGGACCTTTCAATTAGAATCGATTCTTTGCGACTGTATCAAAACCGAATACTTCATCATTTCTCAATAGTATGCAGTAATACGACTAAACTAAGGACACGGGATATTCTACAATAGATCAAATTACTGGTCGCAGTAGTTTTATGTCCCGAACAGAGGAAAAAAAAGGGAGGCCCCCAAAACGGTCATAAAAACACCAACATAGTTTAGAAACCGGGGAGTGGGGGAAATTTCTACTCAAAATCATGTGGGTTAATTGATGCATGACCCATGTTAAAAAAAAATAGTCATAAAAATGTAAAGCACACCTTAAAATCGAAGACAAGGTTTAAACGCCAAAATATCGCGGGTTATGTGAAAAGGATGTATCTCTCTGATTGATTGATTCTCTTCCTTGACTTTCTCTTTGGATGATATTTTGGCAACATCAGGCATAACATTTGATAACGGCACAAAAGCATTTGTAAACAAAATTTCTAAGGCCCTTTACATGCGAACCGAAGTACGCTCACGCAAACCAACATTATCATCGGATGGGAGCAACTCTCACTCTTCCGTAAGTGGTATTGGTTTGCGTGGGCGTACTTTGGTTCGCGTGTAAAG